TTGTCTCTTGATTTCTTCAGTCTAAGCTGCTATCCATTACTCCATCAGGCCTCATATATATATATATATATATATATATATATATATATATATATATATATAATCACTGTTTCAATTCTGCAATCCTCTGTTTTATTTATAAATGAATACCAATTCATGTAACAAATATTACATCATTCCAGTGATCTAATAAAAACAATGTTTGCAGCCTGAATTAGATGTCTGTTACTATAAGAAAAAAATAAGTATTTTATACGATAAAGCATTAAATGTGAAAATATTGTGTTTTTAAAGGATGTGGAATTGTATAGCAAAGCCCAGTGTAGTACAAAAAAGTTTTGCATAAAAAATACGTCATTTCTACTAATGCTAGGATGTTACTCTATTTTCTATTTATTGAATAACTAAACTAAAAACCTCTTAATATTTCATTGGTGTTATTCTTCTCTTAAAGATCTGAATAGCTATTATAACATGAATTCGTTAGCAAGCTTTTTGAATTTTCCTATACTTATATTTTGATTGGTCATTCTAGCTTTTGTAACAACGTTTTCTCCTTGCGAATGATCGTTAATTAATTTGAAACTTTTAAAACCATTTATTTTACATTCAACATCATCACTGAGGTGTTGAAACAAAATGGCTATTTTTGTAGTGATTTTATAACATATTTATGTTATAATGTTTTTTAAATAAATAATTATATATATATATATATATATATATTCTCTAAGAATATGAATAGAAAATATCTGTCTTGTTATGCAGCATATCATAGCATATAACTTTAAAAAATCAAAGATTTGAGATTTTCTAATTCTTAAACTTATATCTCTTCATGACTATTACAAAAATACATTATTTTTCTTTTTGTATCTACAATGTATCTATTGGAGATTTAGCAAGCTCTATTTCATAAAAATATTCATTTTTTCCACTATTGCTTTCTAAGTTCAGATTATTAACATAGTTGCAAAGTTGTTGATATCATTTAATTTCACATAGGGAAAGTAATAAGTGACTTTTTAATAATGTTATGAAGAATGTTTTCTGTCATTAGAAATAAGAATTGATTACACCTAACTTCAAAGGCATCTTGTAGAAGTTAAAATTGTCTTATTGTTTAAACAAGGTAATATCAAAAATAAGGTCAGCAGGTATCAGAGTAGATCCAATAATTTGTAAGAGGCATATTATAACAGAATAATTCTGAAAACTAATTCTTTAGCCTTTGTTAGTGAATGAATATTAATAATTGAATGAATCTTATGAAAGCTGCAATGATCAATAAAATATTTCTTCTCATTAATATATGTATATAATTATAAATGCTTAATGTAAGCAATGTAGCAATGGTGATAACTTTGATGATATTTCAAGTACTAGACAATTTTTCTTTTCTAAAACAAGTTATAATTCATAATATAAATATACTTTTTGATGACATTTAATTAGGTACTACCACTGATTCACTAAAAATGCTCCAAACTTAATAAAAACTAAGTTTTATCATTAAAATATTTGTTATTATTAAGAGGAGGGACTAGAGGATTTTTTGATTATTATTTTTGTTTTTCCCCATTTTAGAATGTTCGAAATTTTGGTTAAAAATCTTGTTTTCCTTGCATCATCTGGGTGGGAGTGAAATTTTGAGTAACCAATGATTAGTGTAGGAAATTTTAGCGTCTTTTTTGCAGTAAAAAACCTTGATTTGGAAATTCTTGCAAAAATCAAATTATCAGATTTTAATTAAACTTGTAGGACTTATTGACAAATGAATTAAATCATTTTAAAATTATTTCTTTTTAGAAAATCTTGGTAAAAACATGTTTTTCTTACATCTGTTACTCCCCACCTATTTAATCTTATGAAATTTCAAAAAATTAAATTTTGTACTGCTTAATATTTATATTAGTTATATGCAAAACTCCTTGAAGAATTTAAATCATCAATTTTTTTTTGTAAAACATGATCCCCAGTTACCAAAAATTTGCTCTAAATTGTAAAATAAAAAATGCAATGAAACTAAGATATTATTTAATTAGAAAAGCTTTTAATTGCTTTTATGAATAAGATATATTATGAACACTATTGTCTTAAGAAAACAATTTTTTTGATGAATAATTAATTTTTACAAGAATTGTTTCCATTTTTTTAAAAATTTTAATTGAAATAATTTATAAAATTTTAAATCTTTTAAATTTCTCTTAATTTTTACCAGTTAGGTAATATTGTTATTAATTAAAAACTATATTTACTAATCATAAATGGAAAAGCTTACTATGATTAATCAACCTCAATAATTCTTAAAAAGAATTTTGATTTTTTTTTGTGCGTGTGTGTGTATAAACTTGCTGATTGTTGTAAATATGGATGTCCATACATGACATTATCAGAAAATAAGAGTGATATCTATAGTAGACTGAAAGCCAAATTACCTAAAATTCAATAAAACATTAGATTATGGGGAATATTTTCCTAAATTTATAAGATTACTGGGTAGTTAAAAATTTTATAAAAATGGTACTCACATATTTCTCAAGTAATTTTATGAATATGCCCACCATAGAAAAACATTAGATAAATTTCTACCTGTTTGCCAAAGTGTTACACTTTAAATAAACAACTACCTCTGTGTTAAAAAATACATTTCTGCAACATTTTTAAGTAAAAGTCAATAATTTTGTTTCAAATCAGATTAATTAAACTTTAAATTAGCTAATAATATTCCTCAAATAAAGTTTCAGAAAAGTATATATTTTTGCATGATTTTTTTTAATAATGAGAATTACATTGTGATGACAGATGGTTAAAAATGGTGTTAAAATCAGCGATGTTTAGTGATTTGAGAATGAAAACTCTTTTCAGTCAATTTAAATTAATTTTAAAATACAGCAAAGTATTTTACTTGAAAATATAAAAGCTTGAAAAAAGCTTTTTCATTTTTAGAAGATTCATTTTACTGGCACCATGTAATCCAGTACAGCCTGCCTCTGCTAGCTCACCTATCTCACTTTAGAATGGGTGTGGAGGGTGATTAGTAACCTAGCAGGAATAAAAACAAGACCTGTCAAATGGTAGAGAGACAATGAGAGACAATGGCCACAGAGATGGTGTATCAATAAAAAAACTATGACGTCAATTGGCAAACCTTCAACTATCAGCCTTTAGTTTCTCATAATGAATATATCCAGTACATCGAATATGGTCAGTTCTACCTGAAGGGCTATGACATACTAAAGAAGAATAAATTCTGTACAAAAGATATTTCTAGAGTTACACCATAAAATATTCCAACCTACTAAATGAACTACTTGTGTAGAAACTTTTTAGTCATTTTATGTGCCTATTAGTAGAGTGAGAATGCATGAATATGGATAAGGAATGGGTGAATAAAAGTGACATTATTTGTAGCTTTTCTTTTTCTCTCTCTCTCTGCTTTTCTTCTTGTTTTTCAACTTGTTACATTAATCTGAGAATTGCTAGCCTACCAAATGCAGTGTATCACATGTCAGTCTATATACACTAGGGTCTTGGAATTTTGTAAATGCTGCTGGCATTGGTCTGTTTTGGGCTTGCAAAGAAATGTCCACAAAAACTAACTTGGCTTCTTTTCAGCACATCAACAATTCCTGCTAATAACTGGGACACTGATGACAAAGGTGCCAATTAAAAAATCCTTTTCAGTTGCTGTGTTACCACTGATAACTGCTGTTGTCATGAAATGTTGTTTACTCAGAGCCAAGCATATTTCAGAAGCAAATATGTTAACTATTGTGTCAAATGAATCCATCTCTACACCATAACTCATATAAGTTTCTTGTTGAAACAAATTGAAAAGTTTATAAAATAGTTGCAAGATTGATAATAAATCTGAGCACTGTTCATAATTTATCAAATTCTTTAAATAGAGATACTTGAGTATTTTTCTTCTAAAATCTGAAGTATTTTTGTTATATATTTTGAACAAATCATTTTTATATTTGTGTTTGTTTAATGATTTTTTCCTCATTTTTTGATAATTATCATTATAGCATCTATCAATATATACTGATATCTGTCTGTTAATGTTCAATGTCAGTTGTTCCCCTTAATAATAGCCTGTTTGGAGTTTGTATATGTAGATGGCACTAGCAGCTAATTTACATGGCTATTGTGGTGACAAGTGATTGCTCAATCAGAGCTAATCTCATTACAATATAAGTTGGTTAGTTTATATGGTGAAGGAAAAGCGTTTTGATCTCCTCTCTACATAATGAAGAAATTTTAGTTTCTGGAATTCCAAACTTATATGTGTATTTGTGTGTGTGCATGCATGCATGTGTAATACATTTTATAGAGTGCACAGATATTACACTGATCCCCAAGAGAAGTACCAGGGAGTAACAATTTTATCCTAGGTACAAGTGTAATCTTGTCATTTTTAACAGGTACTATGCTAGCTTATATAAAATAATGTGTTGACTCTCATTTCTGAAAATTTGAATGACTACTTCAAATGTACTATTCCCTTTTGTTTGTTATAGTTTATTGCAAAATTAATGATACTGTTATTCATATGTATATTAAAGAAATATTGTCATCACCATGAAAAGGTTTGTTAGATTTTTTTTAATTACTGTATTCTCATTAGATTAGTTGTTGAAGCATACCTACAGACAATAATGGGTATGTCCCCATTCACATAAATACAGTAGTAAATACTGTATGTTGGTCTGCAGTTGGAGATTCATTGTGGAATTCACTTGACTCACTTCTAGCAGTTGACTTATTCTATGCACTGCTGGTGAATCTTATATGTGTTGTTCTTGCCCTAAGTATTATCATTCATTACCAACCTTCATGTAATTATTCTATTCAGTAACTTTCAATAGGTTACAACATTAGGGAAGCACCCCTAAAACAGATTTGATGCTAAAAAGTAAAATGATAAAGATATGAAAATGAGTAGGTTTAATACTCATATCACAGTATAAAAGAAATTAAGAAAATAAAATTACCTTTTATTTTGCCTATTTTTTTCTGTCAGCATTTCACCTCAGTTTTCATTTCTGACAATTGACATGCTCATCTGTAGAAGACAAAAACATCAGTTCATAGATAAATGAGGCTTTGTAAAAAAATCCAGCTAATTAATAATTACATTATTTGTTCATTTATAAGAACAGAAACAAGTTTAAATGATTCTTCTTTACCCACCCCACACTTTCTTTTCTATATTGGAATTGTATATATAAATTAAAGTTTTCTCCCATGACCTATTAAAGCAATAAAAAAATAGTGATTTTGATTTGAAACATGAGAAATAATCTTGCATGGCTTTCTTTTTGGCAGTAATATTAGACCAATTTCAACAAACACTGCTGAACTAAAAGATTCTTAAAAATTCATATTAAAACACATATCAAGTTATTTGTCCATTACCAGTAGTCATGTTATGGAATATAATGTTTATACAACATTTATGTAATGTATATTTGATGTATATACAAATGGATAAACCTTGGAATAATAAATAAAGATGAAAAATATACTTGTAGATCATCAATATCAATGAAACAGAAGAATTCATGGGTGATTTTGTTGCTTATTCTTATCTTCAGCACATAATAAATGGAGGAATCTTTTTAAGATATTATTAATTTTGTTTGAAGCTTTTTGACACTTTTATCTTACATACAGCATAGATACAGCAATATATGAAAAAATAGATGATAGCAAGCACATATGACAATGAAAAAGGGGTTTCAATAGAAATTTTATTATGGACAGCCTAAACTCTTGATCAATATTTAAATTTTTTTCATAGTAAAATCAATAGTTTTATGTTAGACAAAAGCAAGCAAGAAAACTGATCAAGAATATGTGACTTGATAGTGCTATCAATGAACATTTTAAACACTGTCTATTGATGATAATATTGAATAAAAAGTAGGACAATAATATGTGGTAATGGAAATCTGACAATTATTTTGCAATCTCTTGATCATGCCTGAAAACTTTACAGCATCATTTCCATACTTGACAATGGATAGAGTAACAAGTAACACAAAGAGAAATAGGAGTGATAAAGAAAAAAAGTATTACTGATAGCAACAAAAGACAGGGAGCTCTGGAAAGTCATGATTACCCACATCCCGAAGAGACATATTACATTAAGAGAGGGACTGTTATAGACAGTACAAATAAATACTGCACGGTGACTGGCAGTTTCTCACACACACACACACACACACACACACACACACACACACACACACAAAACAAGATCATGGGTGTTTTTGGTGTCCATCTTCAGTATATGATTAAATGCAAATGATATATTATCAGATATATAAAATTACATTCAGGTGTGGAGATGTTAAAAAAGGCTAATCGATTTTGTTGTGCAACTGTGTTTATGATGCTGATGTATAAATTTAAGGGTAAGCAGTTTCAGTGAATCAACTGAATCAGATATTTGTTTATTATTACTAATTTATGTTATAAGATGTTAAATCAACAGTTTACTTCAAGATATCAATCTTTATTATATTTTTAATTTATAGACAACAAACAACACTTTTCTTAGTGTTTTTTAAATGTATGTCTTATTTCAGTTACATCTATTTCTGTATTTAACTATAATCAGTTTTAATGAATGCATTTAGATGTCTTTTGTTCTGAAACAGGAAGTACTACAGACCTTGTTCCTGTGATATCAAACTCTGACAGGAAATCTAAGTTTGATTTTAAATCACAATTACGAAGGGGTGCTGAAAAATTGATTGTCTGACCCACTTTCCAAAATCTGTACAAATGAGAAAAAAAATCAATTTTTTAATATCTTCTTGGTTGAGTCAAACACTTTTTAGCACCCTCTCATAATAGTCTATTAGTTTAACTTTTAAGCTAGTCTGTGTAGCATAGTTCTGTTTATCCAATTTCTTATGTTTGTTTATCTATAGAAAATCTACTGCTACTATAAAGTGCCAATGTGCATGTCAACTTTTGGCCCAACATGACACAATTTACATAATTTTTTTTTTTTTATATTTGTTGTATATAAAAAAAAATATTAACATTTTTATCACATTTTCATTACTGGGTAACAAAAATACGTGAAAATGATAGTGTTTTCTCCAAATAAGCAGATTTTGCAATGTTTTACAGAGTTCTTGAGAAAACATCAGCATTTTATCAGTAACAAAATAATTTGATAACAATTTCTATAAAAGAACATTTTGTAAGTGGATGCTTATTTATAGAAGTATCATAAGTTTTCAATTTTTAGTAAGGCAAAAACCTTTTTTAAATTAGCTTAATTAAGATTATGCATTATCTTATATCTTCTTTTCTCTCACATCTTACTGTCTCCTTTATCTCTCCAAATCTTTATTTGTTCATTTATCTAAATGTTATATAGATCAGATTCTTATTTGTTAAAAGTGAAAAAATCCTCTCTCATCTTTCTTCTGCTCTATCACATCCTAAAGAGTTTCAACATTTTTAATGCATTAAAATATATCAGCGTTAACATATTTCCATCCCTTTCAAACTTTTACTTGTTATCTGTTGATGTCCAGCTAGCAAACCTTACCTTTCATACTCTCACTCACTTTTTCCAATTCTTTTCCACTTTTCAAAATATATAACTAATCCCATCACCAGGATCGTGTACAGATATTAAACTCTAATCTTAGGTAGAAAAGCATATTTGTCAGTGTCTTTTCTGTAGGTTTGTGTGGTAATAAACATAAAAAATCATTTTAACATATGCTTGTGAATACTAAAACAAATACCAGTTCATACTTCATGGCACACATATATCACTGTGGAAAACAAAGCAGTTAGTTCTGTGAGAAGTCATTATATTTTGTATAGGCCAAACTAATTTTCTTGTCTTTTAATTGTCTTGTTTTTATGTTTTGCTCTTTTTTTCTATCACAACATTTTCGTTACTGAACCATCCGCCCTTCCTCAGGTATCTATTGTAGAAGAAGGCCAGGGAGTCAAATAGCCAAAATGTTTCAAACACATCTAAAAAAAAGAATTCAAATGAGTCCTACTAAAAGATTCAGAGTGTTTTAGATTATCTTTTTAGTTATCACGTGAATGTTTTTTTAATGCCAAAAATATTTTCTCTTTTCAATTTCCTGGACTCTATTAACTGATTTATAGAATTTTCTTTTGTTTATTTTATATTTCCTTTTAGTCAGCAACAACCTATTTTATCTTTTGACCAAATAAGTTAACTGATTGTTGTAAAGTGATCATCTCTGAAGGATTTAAGAGGATTTCAACAAGTGCTTTGCAATTTAACAATATTGTGATAGTGTCAGCACCGGTGGGTTTCTTTTGATTTGCTGTTTCATACATTTGTTTACCAAGTTTATCACCTGAGACCTAAGATAAATAAAAGGTTTTCTTCATTTATTGAAAGAGTTTTTCTAAGTGGTCTTTAACATAATTTGTATTTCAGATAAACATGGATTTACTGAAATTTTCTTAATTTTCCTCTAGTTTTATGTTATATGAAGTGGACACAGCAGCCAAAATGTAGTAATAATAAAAATAATAATAAAATATGTCATGTATTTGCACATTGAGTGAGAGTGAGTGCAAGTTTCCACAAATTTCTAACACTTTTTAAATATCCTCACAAACCAAAATGATACCATGGATTAAACAGTTTAAATTCATCCTTGTATTCCTAATTTATTTTGCTTCTCTTGTTTTTCATACTGTTTCAATTCAGTTCTGGTATAGACATAACTCTAACTTTCCCATTCTACACTCGTTGTAACTCCCAGTCAAGGTCCTTGCTTTTTTTCCAATTTCTCATTTTCTTTTAGTTACACTCTGTGGTCTTCTGGTACAGCCACATCCACGATTTGGTAGGTCCTCCTTTTTTATGATTATTGAATCTAATCTTACCTGGATGGAATGGTCAGTCTGGATCTCAATGTGCCAGAATATCTTGTTCTTTTTATTTTCTAAGACAGCTTCTGGTTTTTCCTGATACTACCTTTCTCTTCAGTTGAAGTCTAGTTGTTTGCACAATCCTCAGTCTATCCTTATTTTTGTATTCCTTTCAGCCAGATTATGGTAATTTATATTGATTTGCTTCTGTTAGCCATTCCATAAAATAAACCTTTTCTTGAAGAGATAATGAGAGCCATGCTTATTATTAACCTCAAGAGAAAATATTTTGTTATTTAGTTAATTAAATTCACTAAAAATAATTCTTTGTTTACATCAGTAACACATTTATTAGAGAAGTTTTCTGCTTTAAAATTTGTGCAAAACTATTTTGAAATTAAGTTTTTCCTGACCACAATTACACTAATGCAAATTTTTAGCAAATACTAAATATAAATTATAATGTTTCAAAAAGATTTGTTTCACCCTGTAATTGTTTCTGTTTACATTTTCATTAAACTTTTAATTATATAGATTTATTCCTTAAAAATGACATTGTAAATTATTTAAAAATTGAATTTTAGAAGGCATAACTTATTTGGAGGTCTCATTGAAGCATCTTTAAAAATACTAGACTGAATATTCATAGTATAAAGACTTAAAAGTTAAATGATTTGCTGAAAGTGCATTCCTCACTTTAGTCTGTAACTTTGTTACAAGTCAGAAAAAGCTATTCTCATAATGAAATCATTATTTACTGACTGTAATACAATATTGGGATTTTCCCAATTATATCTGGTAACAAAAATATTGTGACGCCAGCAAGAAGAAAGGAACACAAACACAGTTGAAAATGTTTGAAAAAACTTGTATTATAGGAAAAGAGAATAAAGTTTCAATTGCAAACAGTTGGGTTTGCGGAACTTATCTGAAAGATGCGTCCTTATAATAGTTTTATATTTCCTGTGTCGTTTTGGCTGGGTTGAAGAAAATAGAGTCTTGACTTCTGTGCTTCAGTTGCTGTCTAAATCCACACACGTGTCCTGGTGTTTAGATGACAGAGTGCAGATGGGGAACGTGTTGTCTCTGAGGTTGCCAACAAGCAAAAGAGGAAGAGAGTTTGTAAAAACCGCTCACATGGGGGTTTGGTGAAAGTCTAAAAAGGTAGCC